AAGGTACCTGATCTGTTCCTCTTCTAGCTTTTTACAGTATCCATTTTGAGTTTATTGCGGTAGATGGTGTTAGGTGTTAGTCTAAACTTAATTTCCGCCAAGAATATTGTACAGTTTTTCAAATATTTTTGGAAATTTTTTTGTCATAAATATTATAGAGCATTTCTTTCCTAGGTAATTTGTGTGAGAATTTATTTTATACTAGCTTATCAAGGTTATTGTTTATTTAGAAAATCCTAGGGCATTTTTGGGGAATCCTAGAGAATTTCTACAGGAAAGTATCAGGTTACAAAATTTGTCCACAAAAATCGATAGTATTTCTATATAACAGTAACAAAGTTGAGAAGGGAAATTAGAATTATAGTGACTATTCTTGGCTCCCAAGAAGAACTATGAGAAAATGCCTCTCTGTTTTTGAACAAGTGGGAAACCATAGGTGGAGTATAGGATATGCCAGACTTTTAAAAAAAAAATGCTGGTTAGTTTCTCAGAACTTTTTCTCCTTACTATTCTCCACCTCCGGCCTTTTAAAAATTATTATAAGAGATGGCTCTCTGGACAAGGATTAGATGACAAATATAATGGGAAATGTTGGTGATATAAAGCAAAAGATATGAAGAAAAAGTATATTTAATGAAATAACTAACTGCAAAATGCATAAAATATCAGGAAGTCTATTTACCAAGGCACATTCAACATACATATATATATATATATATATATATACATATATATATATATATATATATACATATATATATATATATATACATATATGTATATATATATATATACATATATGTATATATATACATATATATATATACATATATATATATATACATATATATATACATATATATATATATACACACACACACATACACACACACACACACACACACACACACACACACACACACACACATATATGTATAATAGAAAATGCTCCCCAAAGAAATAAATAACATCTTAAATAACTAGAGGGATATTCCATGCTCATGGCTGGGTATATATAATATAATATAACAATATAATAAAAGTGATAATCTAATTTAAATTGATTTATAGACTTAGTGTTTTAGCAATCAAAACACTGAGGGAGGGATACTTTACAGAGTTCAACAGAATAATAATAAAGTTCATTTGTAAGAACAAAAGATCTAGCATATCAAAGGAAATTTTATTTTAAAAGTAAGAATGAAGAAGGACTAACACTTCTAGCCCTCAAGCTTAAATTATAAAGCAGTAGTCATTAAAATCATTTGGTATTAGTTTTCCAAAGAGGAAAGTAGATTAATGGAACAGACTAGGCTAGGAAGAATTAGAAATAATTAGACACGTTTATGTCCTTACATAACTAATTATAAAAGCTACAATGAAACAATGAGGATATCTTTTGATTATTGCTCACATTTATTGGCAAAGTACTTTACATACATCATTTCATCTATTTCTCCCAGTAACCCCATGAGTTATTGGGTAGGTGTAATTATGCCTGAAGTAGCGAATTGAGGCTTGGGGGGTGGGGTCAAGTAACTAACCGAGAGTCACACAGGTAGTAAGTCTGAGAGGAGACTCAAACCCAAGTCTTCCCAAATCTGAATCCAACATTCCTTACAAGACCTTGTGCTGCACATGGTGACTCTACAGATATGGTGGCTGTGCATGGGTTCTTAGAGACAGCCTAACAGAAGTACGTGATTTTCTAAATACATTTAATTGATACAAGCAGAAGCAACTCATAGTATTATCTATGAAAACCTCTATAATTATGCCCCTATAAACAAGACTGCCTGGATAGCTGTAACATTTGTTATTTGATGACATCGAAGTGCCTTTTTTTTTTTTACAGGAGCCAGGCATGTAGAGGGGCTGGTCAGCACAGTTCTGTTACACATTGGTCATTAGCTACTGGGAGAATTTTTATATTCATTGAAAATTCAAGAGATGGCAAGAGACTGGAAATGCATTGCCATTCTAATGGAGAAAGAAGGGCGATGCTAGAACTACAAGACCAATAAACTTGATGGCCTAGTCTATCTATAGTCTAGAATATATGGTTTGTGATCATTTGGAATTGAAAGAACATTAGCCACTAAGAACCAGTGTTCCACTAAAAACAAAGGATGCTGATCATTTCTTTGTACTGGAGGAATTCTCTAATTTTTTTTTCCTTATGGCACAGATAGCAGAGTGGGGAGACTCATGCTTGCACATGATATTGCAAGTGTGAATTCCAGTGGGTTTATGGCGTGTCCTTTGGGAGCCACCACTAGAATGCCGGGTCAGTTGGATTCTGTACGTGTGTAGTGTATCTGGATTTGAGTAAGCCATTTGGTGACATCTCTTCATAGTGTTTATGAATGAAATGGAGAAAAATAGAGAGTGAATAACAACACAGTTGACTGGTTTAAAGAGTCTTTGAATGACTGGACCCAAAGAATGTTATTCAACAGTACTGAGGAAGTTCAATACTTCCTACTATGTTCTGTCTCAAACAGGTCAGCTAAGTAATATTCCTAGTATATAGTCTCCATATTACTCTGAACTAAGGGAAGTGCACAAAATGCTGGACCCAAATTCAAGAAGACCTGAGTTTAAATCTGGTGTTAAACAATTACTAGATGTGTCAACCTGGGCAATTCACTTAACCTCTTTCTGCCTCAGTTTCCTCAGCTTTAAAATAGAGAGAATAATGGCATCTACTTCCCATGGTTGTTGTGAGAGGCAAATAACATGATGTTTATAAAGCATTTTGCAAATTAAAATGCCATAAAATACTAAATTATTATTATTATTATTATTATTATTATTATGTATTGCATTTCCTGTCACTGGACTGTTTGAGGAGCAAAGATGTCTGTCAACATGGTATATTAGAGTGCTGGACTTAGAATTAGAAAGACCTGGATTCAAATGCCACCTCAGATACTAGTTCTGTGACTCTGGGCACATAACTTAATGTCTTCTCTGTGTCTGTCTTTCCTCACCTGTAAAATAGGAGTAACAATCCCTGTCATACTGATTACACTGGATCCTCGTGCGAATCAAAAAGCCAATCCATGTGAAATCCTTTGCAAACCTTGCAGAGCAAGAGAAATGTCAGCTCTTGATGGTGATGTTATCATTCTGCTTCACCCATAATAAAAGTAAATGAATCTGGAACTCTTGATGTTCTTGGCGCTGAATCCAATCCTTGACTTGTGGGAGTTCATCCTGACTAATCCAAGGGCATAGCCATGTGACCTTGAGCGAGCGGAATCTTCATCTCTCTTCGCCTAGCTCCTCATTTATAGTATGGGGGTAATGGAAGGGACCCACTTTGTGGGGCTGAGGACTAAGGAAGTCATCGTGGAAAGTGCTTAGCTAGCCTTAAAGCATCAGATAAATATCAGCAGCTGCTGTGATTACTTTTGAGTTTAATTAGTATTGATTAAGCACCTACTGTGTGTTCTGCGCTGAGCACTGAGAATACAAAGACAAAATTATAGAGCCCCTGCCCTTAAGGGGCTTTTATTTAGTGGGAGATATAATATGTACACATATACATACATTATATATATGCAAAGTAATACAAGATAATTTCCAGAGGATAGAAGTATTAGGACCTAGAGATAAGGAAGGTGAACATGAGGTCCTCCTCATGTAGCAGTGGGCTCTTTATTGAGATTTAAGGGAAGCTAGGGATTTTTAGATATGGAGGTCAGAGGAAGGGAGTACATTGTAGGCTTGAGAGAGAGTTTGTGAAAAGGCATCAAAGATGAAATGTATTATGTGAAAAATAGCAGGAAAAAAAAAGTCAATATGGCTGGACCATATTATGCCCGAAAGGGAATAATGTATAAAAAAATAGAGAAAAATAGGGTGATGACAGGTTGTAAAGTATTAGAAGTACTAAGCTGAGGAGTTTATGTTTGGTCCCAGAGGTAATAATGAGCCACTAATGCCTCGTCACACTTGTGCTTTGGAGGTGTTCCTTTGGCTACTGGGGAGGATGGATTGAAGAAGGGAAAGGCTAGATTCAGGGAGATGGCTACTGGTAATAGTCCTGGAGAGAGGTGATGAAAGTCTGCCTTAGGGTGTTTAGAATGAAGGGGAGATAAGGAGTTATGAATACAAGAGCCATGGGGGAATTAGAATCAATAAAATTTGACAAGCAGTTGGATTAAGGGGAGTTGAATGAGAGTGAAACATCGAAGATGACTCAAGTTGCAGAGTCTGTAAGATTGGTAGTACCCCCAACAGAAGCGGTTGAACCAGTAGGAAGGGTAGATTCAGGGGTTAAATGACCGAGTTCTCTTTTGGACTTTGAGTTTGAGGTGCCTGTGGGATCGTCCATTGGAATTGTCCGGCAGGCAGTTAGAGATGCAAGAGTGGAGCTAGTGAGAGATGAGTTATTTTAGGAGTCATCTGCATAGAGCTCAGAGTTGAACCCATAGGAGTTGATGAGACCATGAAAAGAGAATTGTAGCAAGGAGAGAATAGAACTGAAGCCAAGCTTTCATTTCTGTTTTCTCTCCCAGCAGGCATTTGTGGACATGGAAGTCCTTGGGCAGGGCGGGGCAGGGCAGGGCAGGGCTGGGTACCATCTTCTCCCATCATGCAGTTGTTCTCAACTACATTTTTGGGTTTCAGATTATGCTCTGTTTCCTTCAGCATTTCTGTAACTAGTGAATTGGTTTGGTTCTTTTGAGAATTCGTTGACACTATTTTATGTAAGGCTTTCTAGAATGAGTTTTTTAAAGAGCAAAACAGGTGTATGCTGTTCGTTATTTCAAGGAAATCTCACCAGTGCTGTCTTTAATAAAAAGAAAAATGACCCTCAGGCCATTGCAGATGCTTCTGGATGGCTCTGGCCTTTTCATCCGCCCTTCCCTTCTGGTCCCTATCTCCTCTCCACCCCCACCCCGTATTCAGGAGACTAAGTTCATTACTACTTGTCACATTGATGTTGCCAGATGACAGGTTAATTCAACCTCTGTGACCTTTGCCCACAGGCGGATTTAAACTGCAACATTCAAGATGATGCAGGGGCTTTCTATGGGGTGACCAGTCAGTATGAGAGCTCAGAGAACATGACCATCACCTGTTCTACCAAAGTCTGTTCATTCGGGAAGCAAGTAGTGGAGAAGGTAGAGGTAAGCTGGGTCATCTCGTTCAGGCGCAAAGCCTCTTTTCCTCTTTGTGGTTGTGGATAAAGGGCTGCAATGTGTAAGGCAGAGGGTTGGGTTTTTGTTTGGTTTTGTTTTTTGTTTTGTCTCATTCCTCTCCCTCTCCTACTGTTATTCATTCATTGTTTCTAAGAAAACACTTTATAAAGCAGCTAGGAGAATCGGTTGTGTTCAGTTTCACCTAGAGGTCTCTGTGCCTAAGATGTTCTGACCTGAAGCCCCTATGCCCCACAGATGGTAAAGCAGAAACTGACCTCCAGCATGTCTTGGCTTAACCAAGACTCCAGATGGGAGGGGGCAGCTCGGGCTTGTTCTGCTACCTGTGGCTTCAGGAAAGCCTTCGCAAGACAACAATTCAATTCATCTATCAAAGAGCCATTCCCTGAAGCATTCCATTTGACTCTTACTTCTGCAATTACCTCAATTTTCCAAAATGACTTACAGTGGATAAGAAAATAGATTTCATTCTTTAACTGGGATCAGAGATCTGTCGGTGTCTGCCTCTTGTTTTGAGGTTCATATCCCCAGCCACCAAACCATTGTATTTTTTTTCTCATTCAATGATTTATCGATAGTTTTTGTTTCTTACACTGCAGTCATTTCTCATAATTCTACCTCCCCCTCCCCCACACAAAACTATCCTTTATAATGAAGAAAAGCATTTCATGAAAACCAGCAGATACACCAGTAGGATACAGAACATCCGGCGTCTGTAGTCGTCCACTTCTTTATGGAGAGCATGTAAGTGGGTTTCCTCATCCAGGACCAAGATCCATTGTGTTTCTCTTTGTAGGATAAGCCACTGATTTTTGTATAATGAATTCTAGTAACCTCTGTTCAGTTTATGGCTATAATGATAATATTAACTGGCATTTGTATAGAGTTTTCATGTTTGCAATATACTTTCTTTTTTTTTCAATTTTATTAATTTATTGATTTATCAACAATCACTTCCATATGCTTTTGAGTTGAAAATTTTTCTCCCCCTTCCTCCCCCCCACCCTCCCCAAGACAGCACACAATCTGATATAGGCTTTACATTTACATTGCTGTTAAACATATTTTCACATTAGTGAAGTTGTTAGTAAAAATTAAAACCAATAGGAGGAACCATCAGAAAGATGAAACAAAACTCAGCAGAAGGTAAAAATAAGTGATAGCAATTCGACTTCCATAGTTCTTTCTTTGGATGTGGACAGCATTTTCCATCCCGAGCCTCTGGAGATGTCTTAGATCCTATAATGCTGAGAAGGGTTCAGTTTAACAATATTAGTCATTGCATAACGTGGCTGTTACTGTGTACAAAGTCCTCCTGGTTCTTTGCAATATACTTTCCATGGATTATCTCATTTGATCCTCACAACAACCCCAGGAAATAAGTGCCGTTATTATCCCTGTTTTACAGATGAGGAAACTGAGGCAGGCAGAGATTGAGTGACTTGCCCAGGGGATACACAATTGGTCAATGTCTGAATCCGTATTGGAACTCAGCCCTTCCTGCCTCTAGGTCCAGCTGTCTATCCTCTATCTTAGCTGTTGATTTTTGCCTTGTGTCAGTCTGTTGGCAGGTGTATGTAGTGCTAATACATGCCAGTCTCTGCTGGGCCCTGTGGAAGATACCCAAGATACATAAAACATTGATCCTGCCTTTAATGAGTCTTCCTGGGGAGATAAACAGAAATGGACTGAGCATGATACAAGGCAGTCTGCTCTTAAGTGCTCAATTCCATATTATACTAGATATGTTATAAGAGCTAAGAAAGCAAATATCTATGCTGGCTAATATAGTTTGGGAGCAAGAGCTAGGCGAGGAGAGGGGGAAGGAGAGGAGGAACACGGTGGCAAACGTGCCCAATGCCTTTGAAGGGTAAGCAGAGAGGAGGAGGAAGGGATTCTAGGTGGTGGAAGCATTGTGTAGAGAACTGCCAATGTCCAAATTCCCTCGTCTTTCAAATATAGAATATGCAGGTTGTCTGTTAGTCTTAGGGGGTTGAAGCTTTGTTATTGCCACGTAGACATCATTAGTGAGCGTCAGAGGAAGGACTGACTGGAAAGCTAGTCCCCTGACCATTATCTCATGCTGACTCTCAGTGGAGGCATAAATGAGTAAAGACAGAGGAGGGGGACCCATGGCCAGAACTTGTGCTGAATAAGTAGTAAGAGAGAAGATGGAAAAGTGAAATGGGTCCATGTGATGGAAGAATTGAGATGCCTAGATGGGGAGTTTGAAATTGATATTATCAACAGGTACTGGTTCAGAACCAGAGAAGAGACAAGATGAGAAAAAGCTTTAAGAAAGATCAGTGATGAAAGGACGTGGAATGATTTGGAGCAAGGAGAGGTTAGAAAGATGCCAGGAAGTCAGCTAAGCCATTTAGAATTGAGGCGCTTGGGACAGAGTGATAACATCAGTAAAGGAGAAGGGCTGTATATGAGAGACATGTAGAAGAAAGAAGAGTTCATGGCTGGATAGAAGAAGAAAAGAAATGGAAGAGAGGCAAAGATTGACTCCTGGGTTTTGAGCTTGATTAATTAGGGAAAACTATTGAAATTAAGAGTCCACATGGTATAGTAGAGATATTGCCATACTTGGAGTCAGTAATACTTGGGGGTCAGATCTCACAAGCTGTGTAACCCTAGGCAGGTTGTCTAATCTCTCCTTGTCTCCTCTTTAAAGACCATAAGTTCTAGAGCTGATAGCTTTCTTAATTGGTGCAGAGAGTTTCCTATGCCAATGAAATTATAGCTCTGATCTACCCTTACACCCCCAAGTCCACATGTAAATAGAGAAGGTTCTTTCTGCAGACCAAAGCACTGTCTGTTTTCTCCCTTCCCCTGCTGGGCAAACACACCTGTGCAAATAGACCCTAGGCTAGGCAGACTTTTGTCAGCACCCATAGTTTGCACATTTCTTAGATGAGGGCCTCTCAGCCATCAAGCCAGATTCCAGTTCCCCTCCCAGTTGCTAATGACATGTTGTCTACCCATAGCCAAGCTATTTTGTAGGCTCTCAGAGCTCAACCTCAGACTGGTCGCACCTGCGCATGAACAAGAAATCTTCTCTTCAATGTCCCCAGCATCCCCTTCTTTTAAATGAAGGTCTCCAGCGAGGAGGAAGTCACGTCCCAACATCTTCTCTTTTCAAGGCTAAACCGTGGCCCATTTCCAAATGTTCTCTAGCTCTCTCCCCATCCTAGTTGCCCCCTTCTAGATAGATTTATATGAGCTTGGCTCTGTCCTTCCTAAAATGTGACACTCAGGACTCAGGGTGGAGCTGACCAGGCTGGAGTAGAGCAGAAACGTCACTTCCCTCCTTCAGGATATTCTACCTCTCTTAAACTCAGCCTAGAATAACATTACCTCTTTTGGATGCCACATCACATTTAACTAACTCATAAGGCCCACTTCTCCATCTCTTAAATGAAGGTTTTGGACTAGATGATGTTTCTGGGTCCCTTTCAGCTGTAACATTTATGATGCTTTTTGATAATCTCTGAGTTAAATTGGGATTTTTCTGGTCACTGCATTCTTGTTAACAAGTCATTTAACAAACATTTATTGAATAGTCACTCTGGAGTTTTTTATGCTACTCCTGGGAGATGCTGCTCAAAACTGTATCTGCCATCAGTATAAATGCCCATGTACTGGTCCATCCTAGAATCCAACAGTACCCCGCCAGCTCAGCAAGTACCTGTTATTATTAAAAATAATTAGATTAGAAGGTAGTGTTAGGGAAACGGTACAACCTAAATGCTACTAGGGTTTGGAGGAAGGAGAGATGATTTCTGCCTGGGAAGATCAGAGAAGGCTTAGAGCAGGTGAAATTCAAGCCAGGCCTTGACAGATAAGAAGAGGCTCAACAGGTAGAAATGGTGGTAGAGCAGGTCATTTCAGGAAGATAGAGCTCTAATACAAAGGCATGAAATCGCAGGACAAGTAGAATTTTAAAGAGATTATTTTGGTTGTATGGCAGTTTCATATTAGACAGGGCTGGAAGCCTAGAGGAACCTAGTTTTGGTGAGCTATATTTGTAGGCAAAAGGGAACTCCTGATACAATCAGAGCATTGCTCGTGTCTCTGTTGAAAACTCCCAGTCCCCTTGGTTGGGGTTTATAATAACTGACATTTATATATACATGTATATCACATATATATGATGGCTGTTATAATTTGTTCATTCAGTTGTGTCCAGCTCTTTGTGATCCTGTGGACCATAGTACGCCATGCTCTTCTGTCCTCCACTATCTTCCAAAGTCTGAGTTCGTGTTTGTTGCTTCCATGACACTATCTATACATCTCATCCTCTGCCCTCCCTTTCACCTTGTTCCTTCAATCTCGCCCAACATCTTTTTCAAATGAGTCCTGTCTTCTCATTATGTGGCCAGAGTATTTAAGCTTCAGCTTCAGTATTTGTCCTTTTGGTGAATAGTCTGAATTAGTTTCTTTTAAGTATTGATTGATTTGATCTCCTTGGGGTGTGTGTGGGTGTGTGTGTATCTGAGGTACCTCAGGTACGACACAAAGTTGTTATGAGGGATTCAAGATAATGTATATAAGCATGACAAACGTGTATGTAGATATGGATATTTTCAGTTATTATACATAATGTGATATATAATGATTATATAATATGTATGTATGTATGTATGCACACAGTATCTAAAGTACTACCTCTTTGTGACCCCATTTGGGATTTTCTTGGCAAAGATACTGGAGTGGTTTCCTTCTCCAAATCATTTGACAGAGAGGAAGCTGAGGCAAACAGGGGAAAGTGAGTCACATAGCGAGGAAGTGTCTGAGGCCAGATTTGAACTCAGAGAAATGAGTCTTCCTGACTCTAGGCTTGGTGCTCGATGCGCTATGGCGCCCCCTAGCTGCCCCCAGTAAACATAGGGGATAGTGACAAATAAAAGCAAATGCAGCCTCTTCCTTCAAGGAGCTCACAGTCTAATTGGGGAGATAACATGCAAATAATTATACAGACAAGCTACATATAGGATAAAGTGGAGATAATCTCAGAGGGAAGGCACTAGCATTAAAAAAGCATTTGCTTCTTGTAAAAAATGGTATTTGAGCTGAAACTTGAAGGAAGCCAGGTAAGCCAGAAGACAGAAGTGAGGAGGGCCAGAGGTGGGTGATGGAGGACAGCCAGCATCAGCAAATGGAGTGTGTCATACAAGTATCAACAAGGAATCCAGCTCAAATGATCTGCATATCAGCAGGTCACTTATAGCTAGTAAATGCCCCAGTGGGATTTAAGGTAATGGCGGGATGCTTGGTTATAGACCTCAGCAGAGGAACTCCTGAAAATTCTGCCTCTGAAGCTACTCAGCTCTGGGGCAAAACCAGCAGAGAGATAGATGGCTGCAGGGGTTGGGGTGGGATAGTGCCTTTGTGTATTTAGCTAAGAGACTGGCATTTCACATGCCCTTCTGTTCTCTCTGGCTGCCTTCATCCTCACTGCTTTGGGTGAAAAGGCATGAACTGACTAATGTCACATGCGACTCTATGGCTCCAGGCCAGGTAGGGCTCAGGAGCTGCTGTTGACAAGTATCAGAAGGGGAACCTGTTTTGAAACTTGCTTCGCTCTCCACTGTCTCAACTCTGCTTTCTATCTAAATACTGCTGGATACCCTTCTTGGGGAGGTGTTCATTTGGGGTTAGTGCTGGGGGGGAATAATTAGATATCTAGTACTTGAGGAAGAGAAGCCCAGTGATGGAATTCACCTTTGACCCTTGCTGCCATTCTCCCAAACACATTCTCTCTCCCTGTCTCTCTCTCTCCCCCTCTCTCCCTCCTTCTCTCCTCTCTGTTTCTGTCTCTCCCTCCCTCCCATTCTCTCCTCTCTATCTCCCTCTCTCCCTCCCTTTCTTCCTCTCTCCTTCCCTCCCTCTCCCCCATTCTCTTCTCTTCTCTTCTCTTCTCTTCTCTTCTCTTCTCTTCTCTTCTCTTCTCTTCTCTTCTCTTCTCTTCTCTTCTCTTCTCTTCCCTTCCCTTCCCTTCCCTTCCCTTCCCTTCCCTTCCCTTCCCTTCCCTTCCCTTCCCTTCCCTTCCCTTCCCTTCCCTTCCCTTCCCTTCCCTTCCCTTCCCTTCCCTTCCCTTCCCTTCCCTTCCCTTCCCTTCCTTCCCTTCCCTCTCTTCCTCCCTCCCTCTCCCTCTCCCTCTCCCCCTTCTCTCCTCTCTGTTTCTCTCTCTCTGTCTGTCTCTCTCCCCTTCCCATTCTCTCTCTCTTCCCTTCCCTTCTCTCTCTCCCTTCCCCTTCTCTCCTCTCTGTTTCTCTCTCCTGTCTGTCTCTCTCCCCTTCCCATTCTCTCTCTCTTCCCTTCCCTCCCTCCTTCCCTTCCCTTCCCTTCCCTTCCCTTCCCTCTCTCCTCCCTCCCTCTCCCTCCCTTCCCTCCCTCTCTTCCTCCCTCCCTCTCCCTCTCCCCCTTCTCTCCTCTCTGTTTCTCTCTCTCTGTCTGTCTCTCTCCCCTTCCCATTCTCTCTCTCCTCTCATCTCCTCTCCTCTCTCCCCATGGGGCACTGCAGGAATCATCGGGCAGTAGTCAGCTGTCATGTGTATTTTTAAACGTACCGAAGTGTTCACCTTCTTTTCCCTCTCCTCAGACGGAATACGCCAGGTTTGAGAATGGCCGATTTGTGTATAGAATAAACCGCTCTCCGATGTGTGAATATATGATCAACTTCATCCACAAGCTCAAGCACTTGCCAGAGAAGTACATGATGAACAGCGTCTTGGAAAACTTTACAATTTTGTTGGTAAGGGGATAACTCATTTCCAGCCATACCGGATAATTCCTCTCATCCCTTCCCACTCTTCCCCTTATTTGGAAGAGAGAGGCCAAAGTATGCTCTGTTAATGGGGGGAGATGCAGGTGCCACTGCCTTCCCTGGGTTATTGTAAGGGAAGTGCTCTGTAAACAATAAAACAAACACAAAACAGCTCATGTTTATGTAGCAATTGAATGTTTGCGGTATTAAATGTAAATTTACAAATTTACGTACATTTCCCCATTTGATCCTCACAACAACCCCGGGAGGTAGGTGCCATTATTACTGCCATTTTGCAGAGGAACAAACTGAGGCTGGTAGAGGTTAGGTGATTTGTCCAGGGTCACACAGCTAGTGTCTGAGGCAGGATTTGGACCAGGTCTTCCTGCCAACACTTAGCTGTCTCTCAATCAGTTTGAGCTAGTCAGTGAGGGGAAGCAGCAGCTAACATGGAACAGGGGAAAGAATGGATCTGTTGCTTAAGTGATTTGACCCAGGTTTTGCGGGCCTGAGTTTGAGGGCTGGACTGTATGCCTTGTGAAGTCCCTTCCAGCTCCGAATATGGGATCCTATAAATGAGAGGTTAGCAGGTGCTCAAATCTCTGTCTCTGAATTTCAATAGGTCATATTCCTCTGTAGGTGACTTCCAAGCAAGGTGCTAATTCTCTTTTCAGATAGAATATTGTCCCCAAATACATTCCCAGGGCCAACCAGACAGCAGGTTTATTAGAGTTCCAATAACTGCAGGAACCTTCTTGTACTGTAAAAACCACTCTGGAGTCACCAGTGATGATGGTGCTGTATGTAAAGACATGAATTTGCCCCAAAATGAAAATAGAGCTCAAGAGTCCTATTTCTCATCAGTTTGCAGAAAAGAAAGAAAAGCCCAGAGGTTCAGCCATGTGGGAGGCTAGGCTGGAGATGAATGTCAAAGGACACCATGTATCTGCAGTGACATAAAGCTTTATGTGAGGGCAGTTGACCCCAATGTCTCTGTACTTTTATTATTGTTATGGGGGTGCCTGATGAGAAGGAGAGCTCAAAGGAATACAGCTTGGAGGCAGGGTCTACATCTAGGCTTCAGCTGAGAGCATTTGGCCTAACCCACATAAAATAGAGGGAGGGAGGGAGGGAGGGGGGGGAGGAGAGAAGAGGGGAGAGGAGAGGGGGAGAGAGAGAATCAGGGAGAGAGAAGCAAAAATGGGGAGAGACAGAGAGAAAGGGAGAGGGGGAGTGGAGTCAGAGAGAGAGGGAAGGGAAGGGAAGAGAGAAGAGCTGGTGAGTATGGTAGGGGACAGGTCAGTGGCCAGCCAGCCCTTCACTTCTCCAGGCATTATACTCCTCTTCTTCATGATGCTAGATCATAGCACTGCTTGCTCTGAAATGCAATGCAGTAATAACATAAAATGAGAGGAGTTTTTTCCCCTTGTAAGTGAGTAATTATCGAAGGAAGCACACACAAATGCCTCCAGTTTGTTGAATTGCTCATGCCAGCTGTTTCTTAAATGTGATGAGCCAGTCCTGTCCTGAAGCCTTCTGGTGCCTCATGCTTGACCCAGGGGCTCAAGGCTGTGCTGACAGAGCTCAAGCTCTGATAATTCTGAATGTCGAGTCTTCAAGTTCAGCATCTTTCCCCCAAGGAGCAGCCCTACTGAGAGCCAGGAAACTCCTTGGTGAACTGTTGATCATTGGGTGACACATTTTTGGGCCACTGTAACCCATAACACCATCTACCGAAGCATAGAGGAGCTGCAGTCTATAATAATGAAAAGAAATAGGAGAAGAAGGAGGAGGAGGAAAGGAAGAAGAAGAAGGAAAAGAGGAGGAAAAAGAAGAAAAGAAGAAAAAGGAGGGAGAGAGGAGAAGAAAAGGAAGAGAAGAGGGTTTTTTTTATAGCACATTTAAGGTTTGCGAAGTACTTTACATGTGCTGTCTCCTTTGGCCTTCACAACAACTCTGTGAAGTAGTTTTTATTGTCTCTATTTTCCAGATGAATAAATTAAGGACACGGTGAGGTTAGGAGACTTGACCAGGGACATAGAGCTAGTCAGTGTCTGAGGTAGGATTTGAACTCACGTCTTCAGTGCTCTGCCGCAAAGTGTAGCTTACCGGGATGATAGTCATTAATAGTTTTTGAAGCATTTGAAGTGCCAGGCTAAACCTTGGAGCCATATCTAATTTTTTTTTTAAAAAAAGTAATCTGTGTAGATGCAAAGTCTGACATTCAGGTTCAGAAAGCCAACTTCACAAATACAAGTTGAGGGGGTCAGGCCTGGAAGTTTTGGTAGGTTGAACCCTCATTTTGATAGGCCAACCAAGGAAGAGACGATCACAGGCTGAATAGAGAGAAGTCAGCATCCACAGAGGGGGAAGTGACAGTCCCATTTGCTGGCCCCTGCCCTGGTCAGACCTCATTACAATCTTATGTTCGGTTCTGGGCACTACATTTTAGGAAGAATATTGATCAGCTGGAAATTGTCCCAAGATTACAGATATGACATATCAATCAGTCAATCGGTAAGCATGTAATAAGTGCCTGCTGTGTTCCAGGCACTTTGCTAAGTGCTGGGAATACAAAAAGAGGCAAAAGAAGGTCCCTGCCCTCAAAGAGCTTACAACCTAATGGGGAAGAAAACATGCAAACAAATAAATACGAACTAGACTATATACAGGATAAATAGGAAGTAATTAACCGAGGGAAGGCACCAGAATTAAGAGGGGTTGGCATAGGCTGCCTGGAGAAGGTGGGATTTTAGTTGGGACTGAAAGGAAGGTTGGGAAGCCAGTAGGTAGAGATGAGGAAGGAAATCATTCCAGCCATGGGGGACAGCCAGAGAAAATGCCCAGAGCTGAGATAAGGAGTGTCTTATTCATGGAACAGCCAGAGGCCAGCGTCACTGGATGGAAGAGGAAGTGTCAGGGAGTAAGGTGTAAGAAGACTGGAAAGACAAGAGGGAGCTAGAGTATAAAGGATTTTGGACATTGAGCAGAGGACTTTATATCTGATTCTGGAGGTGACAGGAAGCCACTGGAGTTTATCGAGTGGGAGAATGACATGTGCATGGATGGATCACTTTGGTGTCTGAGTGGGGGATGGACTGCAGTGGGGAGTGGGGAGAGACCTGAGGCAGGCAGACTGACCAGCAGCTAGTGCAGTAATCCAGGTGTGAGGGGATGAGGGTCTGCAGCAGGGTGGGGGCAGCGTCAGGGGAGAGAAGGGGGCATATCTGAGAAATGTTGCAAAGACATCGACATCAACAGATCTCAACGACAGCTTGGGTATGGGGGTGAGAGACAGTGAAGAGTCTAGGATGACTGCTAGGTTGGAAAACTGAGGGGACTGGCAGGTGGTGCTGCCCTCTGCAGCAATAAGGTAGGAGGGAGGTTTGGAGCTTATCTATTTACATTTGTATTATTTCCATATTTATAAATATTATTTCTATTATTAATTTCTGTTTATTTTTTATTTATTTGTATTGAGTTTAAACTATATACGTAGCTTTATTAAAACAACTCATGTTGGACTGAAGATGAAAAGGTTTAGGGGAAAATCGAGAGCTTTTTCTGAGAATAAGAGGGATTGGATTTGACCCTGAAGGTCGGACCTGGGAGCAATGGGTGAAGTTATAGAGAGGTTTAGACTTGATGTAAGAAATAACATATCCTGATTAGGTCTGCCCCACTGGGGAATGGACTGCTTCAAGAGGTGTGATGTAGTGGGTACCTCTTCACAAGTCTACCACTCATCTGGGGTACCATAGAGGAGGATTTCTCAAGCTGGGCTCCACAAACTTGTCCTTAAAAATATTTCGATAACTATTTCTGTGTAATTGGTAGCTTTGTAGTATTTCATTCTAAGCATTGAAAAACACATGATTCTGGGAAGGGGTCCATAGGCTTCACCAGACTGCCAAAGTGGGGAGCCATGAAAGTACCTGCGATTTAGGGAGAGTTCTTCTTGTCTAGGTCTGAGTTGGACAAGATGAACTCTGAGGTCCCTTCCATTTCTGAGATTCTGTGCTCTGCAGAGCATCATCCTGCCCCCCCCCCCCGGACACCAGAGTTACAGGTGGGCCCACGTGAAAATCCTTAGTTTATCTGAAACATCTCTTTGGGCAATTCTTTCAGAGCAGGTTATGTAGCCATTGGCCAGAACTTACACATACTTATTTTCAAATGAATGGTGGTTGTTGTAGCACTGAGTGAATGAAATTTGAACTGCAGGATGCACCTGTCAAGAACCCTCCTCACTCCGTGTGTGCGATCTGTCTCTTACAGGTGGTGACGAACAGGGATACACAAGAAACCCTCCTGTGCATGGCCTGTGTATTTGAAGTTTCAAATAGTGAACATGGAGCACAGCACCATATTTACAGGCTTGTAAAGGACTGAGCACGGTTATTTATATATACATCTACACACACATACACACGTCATCATGAAACGACAGACTGTAAACCTCAGTACTAAGTGGCCGGGCCCCTGGCCCAGGGCGGCCCCCACGGATTTCTAAATCTTGTCAGTCATTTTTCATGTGTTCATATATCATTGTAGCTGTGAAATTCTGGTACAGTTGTAAAAAAAAATTCTTTCTAAAATGATGTGTTCTTCAGATTTGTAACCCATACTTCTTTGGGAAAGATGACACTTAAGAAACGGAGGTCTCTGTCTGAGGAGGCCTGTTTTTAATTGTGGTAGAAAATGTTAAGACAGAAGCATTTGCCATGGGAAATTTACAGCATTTATACAAATGTATTTAGTTTTTTTCCAACATAAAGTACTTGTTTTAAGATGCAAGTAAAATTAAAGTGAAACTTTAAGTATAAATGTAAATGAGTAGACAAAGTGAAGAAACTTTAGAATTATCTTTGTAACTAATTAGGGTGAAACGAATGTAATTCACTAAATTATTTTTTAAATGAAACCTTTTTTTTTCCTTTTTGAAACCAAATGTTACAATGTAGCCTTAAGAAACACTTGGTAGGAAGACCCTAATGAGGCAAAATTGTATTTTTTCCTCACCATTTAAAACTAATTCTCTAATCCATTAAACATCTGAACAGGTATTGCAAAGAAAGAAAATGTCATCCTTATCCATAACATATAGAGTGTATTTAAAAATATAAAATTGTATTGTACTAATATGAAGATTTGATTATTTAATGAAAAAGATGGCTTGTTTTGCAATAAGTAGGTAAATACTGAAAGTTTAAAGTTACGTTGTAGTCGTGTGTGCAGTTATATTTTATATGGACAACTAAATTTTCTATTAATTTGAGTGGAAGAATTTGAAACACTACAATTATTAGTAACAAAGTAAGAATTAAAAAAAATTGGCATGAATACTGCACTGTTAGCTGCACAGTAGAGAGAGGACTGTGGTGGGAAGAAGATTTCATAGACCAAATTCCAAAAGGCTCATCTGCTTTAGTATGGATGCCACCCAGAACAACCCAAGCCCACCTGGACTTTTTAACAGACCCACATGCACCTTAATAGCTAAGGTCCCTGCGTGGACCCAGACAAGAGGAATTTTCTGAACATTTCTTCAAACCCTTCTATTCTGTGTGCTGGCTAACCCCCTTAAGGTTTGGGCACACCATTTGTGACTAACCCTGGTGCATGTGCCCATGCTCGTTCTTTTGAAACAAGCTCATTTGGGAGCTTTTTTCTTGTAGAAGACTTTAACTTCTTCCCTCTTCAAATACCCAGATACACTCAGCAGTTAGAGTTGGTAGGGAGAGTGATAATGTCCCTTGGGTTCTTTCAACTCTGCTACTATGTAGGTCATTAAAAGGCCCAGGTTACAGAGCATGGTGCTCCTTCCTTCCTTCTTTGCCTATTGAATGCCAGTTTTGTGCCACTTACCACCCACATAAAAACTGCTTCATAGCTGCAGGGTGCAACCTCTTACCCAAGCCTAGCCTAGGAGTCAGATTTAGAGCTGGAAAGGGCCTTAGTCAACATCTTTCCCAGATCTTTCCTTTTTCAGATAAAGAAACTGAGACCAAGAAAGACCAAGACTGTCCTGGCATCACACAGCCAGTATGTAGCAGAGTCAAGATTGGAACTCAGGTCCTTGATTCTAAATCTCTTTCTTTTCTTATTAGCACACCCAACATTTCACAAAGGTGTGCACTTTGTCCCTGGGAAGACAAGCTGGGAGATCGCACATTGTGCTGCACTATGGGGGGTAGCTGTGTCTTCGGAGCTGAAGGACAAATGCTTCTGGGCTCCAGTCCTTTTTACAAATCCTGTACTCAACTTAGGCCAGATCCAGATGTTGTCCTTATTCCTGTTTCCAGGGCTCATTTGGCCTATTCACAGCCGCTCACAGGTGGCCCTTTGTTTTAAGGCTGCGTGTGTCTTTTTGGATTACATCTTCTTGTCCTGTGGCTAAGTGGCTGTCTCCAAAATACATGGTGTCCCAAAAGTCTTTGTGCAACTTTAAGCTTTGGTAACTTAAAACTGAACCAAGACTTTTGGTATCTTGCCCACCTTCTTCCCATGGTGGTCCCATTACCCTTTCAGGCAGTTGTGCTTGGAGGGAGGCATAAGCAACTTGTGTGGCCAGCAAATGGGAGGGGCATTTCAATCTATTTTTCAAAGCACAAAAAAGAAAAAAAAAATCCCACGGAGACTCAGAAATATGTTATATAGTAGTACCAGATAGAAGGGATTTAAAAAAAAAAAACCTAGCCAAACAAACCACTTCTTGGTGTCCCAGGCCTCTCTTGCTGGATTCATAGCACCCTGGTCACTGTTGTTGATACGTGGGCATCTTTCATTCTCAACACTATTGTGTGACCAACCACTCAGGTGGTTTTTGATGTGAATTCCACCTCTCTGTTCCTTCTGCTCCTTCAATCTTTGTTTGGGGCTTTGCTGGCTGTTGGTGAGTGGGTTTGGGGTTGTTTTTTGCTAAAAACGCTGATATTTATCATCTCTTTTTAAATTTTGGGTGGTTTTTTTTTTTAATCCTTCATTTTTCCAAAGCTGAAGCTTTCTCTCATCCAGCACTTCTCAACAGTAGGGCAGAAGACCTCACTAGCTGTGTGACTCTGGGCAAGTCACTTAACCCCAGTTGCCTCATTAAACACACACACACACTCTAGGGCAGGGACCTTTTGGTTGTGCTGTGGCCTCCTTTAGCAGAAGCTTCTGTGTTTCTTCCATCTCTTCCTAGCAACCTGTCCTCCCCTAAATCCTCCTGCAGGGAGCTACAGAATTTTATCCAAGGCCTTTCTGCTGGCTCCCCTTTGTCATTTCTTCCTCTAACTAAAAACCTCTGGGAATGAGACCCATGTGATAAACCAGTCTTCTGAAACACTGGTCCCCTCTACCTTCTTTCTAGGCCTTCTGTCATGCCAGTTTTCACCAGGGAGTGTGGGGTCCCTCCGTCTATTTCCTGAAATGAGTGTGTATTGACAAAAGAACACTAAATTGGGCGGTGAGGAAAGCTGAGGCGCTCAGACACAACTCCGTTCCCATTTGTTTTCCTGAAAGACCCAGCATAGAATCAGGGACTGCTTTGGAGACTGTCTTAAACAGAAGGTTAGCACTAATAAGGCCCTTTGGAGGTCATGTAGTCCAGCGTTTCCCATCCCATACTAGACTGATCTCATGAGAGTGGTGATGGGGACCTGGGAAGAAAGAAACAGAAGTTGTGAGCCCCAGAATGTAGAAAGTGGGACAGTCAGCAGGTTTGTTTATGTTTATAGGTTTTACGAAGTAAAGGCCTTTAGTAATAAAATGAATTCTTGCTGGTAATTTGGAAACAATGATTTGGCCTAACCCACCATTTTACAAAAGGAAGAAACTTAGGGCCAAAGACATTTGACAAACTTACCTGTCAAAGCTGGGACTGTGGTTTTCAGATCCCCTTCTGTCCCAGCACCTTTACCATGACATGTGTCCAACCTGTGAAAGAGCTTTCCGAGTGCCTGCTGGTCTGATCAGCCACAGTCAGACACACTATATACCTTGACCCCAACATAGTGATGTTATTTTGGTCCTCTTCAAGCGCATAGGACGACAACCAGCCCCTATTCCACGTTGCCAAATCCTGGCTTCAGGACTACCTCACTCAGCAGAGGTGGAGAAGAAATAGAGGATTGTAAACCTACAGTTATTCAAACCTCAGAAGCCATCTCATCCAATAATTCCCCCTCACCCCATTTTATAGATGAGGAAACAGAGGCCCACGAAAATTAAGTGATTTGCCAAAGGCCATGGAAAAATCACCAGGTAAAAGACATCCAGTGAGTAACTTATGCTTGTCTTTTCCCAGAACGTCTTTTCTCATCACTTTCTTGCTGCAGTTAAGTCCTGTCTGCTTCCTGGTAGAGGTGGTGAATGCTTGGTTCCCCGTCGTCCACCCTCATTTATTGAAAGAGAGTCCTTTTTCTTCATCATCCCTTTCCATCATTCCTCAGAGCTTTCATTCCTAGTATCTTTGCCATCTTGGTGAATTTCCTTTGGAGCCTTGCCAGAGTTTCCCTTCCCAGGCCATCCCATTAGGACTTCTATAGACACTCCAGGGGAAATACTTTTTTATTGGACCCTGGAAGATTTAGAAAGTAGAGAGATCACCCAGACTTTGAGAGGGGATAAATGGCATGAGGAGGGTGTCATTCGAGATCGGAGAGGCTGTAGAAGGGGCAAGATTGCTGTTTTATAGACGTGACATCAATCTTTCTAAGACACAACTCCATCTGAGTATCATTTGCTGACTGAGGACCCTGTCTTATAGTCACATCATGGCTATGCACGTAGTAAAGCTGATGAGCCCTTTACTTAGTATTGTATATGGTTCACCTTCCACCATAGGCTCCTGTAGACGAGTTTCTGATGCTGAGCATCCCATCAGCAAGAGCACGGCATCCTGACAGCCCAAAGGTCACCCTCGATTCTCAAACTACTTTTTTTTTTAAAGCCAAATCTTCCCTAGGACTCCCAACACCATAGTGGCTTTAGCAGTTTGTTTTTTTTATAGGACAGTCAACAATTTGAATTGTATAACGATAGAACAATCCATTTTACAAACCAGGTACAGTGTTCTATGCTCCGGTACTGCGTCTGTCCTGATGTCAGGTTTCTCCAAGCCTGTGTATCAGTGTTGTTCACGTGTCATTTTAGGAGGAAGTGTTTGCATGGCTTTTTCTTCACCTTTTTTCTGTATGTGGCTAAGCCCTGCACACGTTCATTCTGAAAAGCCTTAAATCCTTGGGATGTTCAACGTGGGGTGTGTGGTACAAAAAGGCTGCCTGGAACCTGTGAGCCCTTTTGTAAGCTGGAAGCATTTCTCTTATAACTGTTACTTTTCTAGGAACTTTTTAATTCACAGCTGCCAAAGCATTCCAGTAAGCAGTGCCTTAGTGTTCTCTTAGACGTACGTGCCACCAGCCTTTTCTTACAGCCGTCCTTGACCTTATTTTACAAATTGGCTCCGTTCAAAAAACAAACAAACAAAAAAATGAGCACCTGTTTTCTTTGGTTCCACCGGAAACTTTTTTTTTGACTACTTGGTCTAAAACATGAAATTATATACAAGTCAATCCCATCATTATGCTCTTAAATGTATATACCAAAATGAAAGGTTACAACTTCATAGTTTTCCGTGGAAAGTACTTATGATGCTGCCTTTTAAATTTCACGACCAAATACTTAACTATTTTTGAATTTTCACTCTAGCATGAAAGTGCCTTTGGTTTGCCGTTCCAGCTTAGAAAAGTGCTGCCATAATGATGATAATTTGTAGAGAGACCAAAAATATTTAGAGATCACCATAATGCCTTTGGTTTATTGGAATGAGGGGGAAAAAAACAAAACAAAACACAAAACTCTAGGCCTCCATTTACAAGAGAGCACTGTGTATGGTAACCTGCTGGCCACCAGTCATCAGATAGTCCAGTCCGGAACCTTCTACTCTCCACCATCATTTTACCGCCGTGAAGACCAGTAACTGGGATGTTAACGTATCCAGATGACCCATCCTCCCTTTTTCAGCTCCTTGCCCAGTCTTTTGTGTCTGTGGAACACGAACCACAGAAACCATTTGTCCGTGGACAAATGTTACAACTTGGGGTTCATTCAGTCTCCTTTCTGTTGAGCATTTCAGTTCCTATGAAGGCTTTCCTTTTTTCTACTAGTTCTAATGTGCACTTATTTTGTTTACAAAGTTAGACTCTTTGGAAATTTGGAAGCACCAGACTGAGATAAAAGTACACAACCAAAGTGAAGTAGGGTGAGTCAAATCCAAACCAGCTTTTTTTTTAAGCCTGGAAATGTTGACTCTTGAGTGGGATGTCTGAACGTGCTTTGAAAAACCTCCCAAAGAGCACCATTCACAGCTCAGCATTTTCAAGAAATGTTTCAGCCCCAAGGAAGGCGACTCCTCAAAGTCATTGTCTGCTTTTGGCACCTTTTGAGATCCAGGCCATACATTATATCAAAAATGAACGTGAGGGGTTGGGCCAGGGGACCAGGGCAAAACACCAGCCCAACCAAAACCTGGAAGAGAGGTGTTTTTATTACAAACAGTTTTATAGTCACTTAATGAACTTTTGACATACATTGTCCGCTCCTGCATGGTGTCTATCATGAGAATACTCTTTCCAAATTTGAAATTTTATTTTAGATCACTTGATTTCTGTACCTCTCTCTCCATACTCACCCTCTAATTCTTGTACTATGAAGATTTACATATGAAAAGAAACCTATCTGGAATGCCACTAACGTTTGGCCATTTCTGTTCAAACATTACACAAGCTAGCTAGCTACTTGAATTTCCAAACCATAGATCTTGTACTGCACCCTGCCTTGGAAGAAATTGAAGCTCTAACAATATTTGTTTCCCCATTCTTCCCCCTTTTTTAGCTCAGTTTCATTTGGCAATAGCTTTCCAGCCTGATTAAATCCATCACCTATATCTTTCAAAGTGAAGCTTGTATGATTAATATTTAATGCCAGTAGACAGCTAGCAGAAGTCAACCCACCATGAGGATAGTTGAAATATTTATATTTCTTTTCTTGTCCTAACTCTTTGGATATAATTGGCTTTCTTACTCCCTGTGAAGTTTTATTTTGGAGTCCGAGTACTCTGAAATGTTTGATCTGATTTTTTTTAAATGATATTTAATCTCTCTATCATTAATCATCGGTCGTTATAGATTCCAGTTTCAGACCTCTCTCAGGTTGCCCCTTTTTTTGTCTGCCTTCGATTGTCAGATTGTGCATTCTTCTTCTTCTTCTTCATCTTCTCTTTCTTCTGAAAAAGAAGCTGTTAGTGTTCATGTACAAGCCAATTGGAAACCAGTCTCTGACTTCTCCAGTTTCATATTCGTAATCTTCATTGTGTCAATTAGCTGTTGAAACCTTGGTTGACAAAGGATGTTTTTCCCTGTTACCTCCTTAAAAGACACGTTTTTTTTTATGAGCCTTTTTATTTCAGGCTCATGACCGCAGAAAAAATAAATAAATAAAATAAATACAGTACGTGCCTGAAAAATGACAGAAGAATTTTATAACAGTAAAAAAACAAAAAAACAAAAAAAAACCTGAATAGCCTTTAATTCTTTACTATCCATACATTTTACGTAAACCCGTTTTTGCCATGTGCATCTGTTCACGTTGTAAATGACTTAATGGAACTCTCACTTTATGTTTATTCGTGTAATGTGTATAAAAATGGGTTTGTGACTTAAGCATATTCATATATGGTCAGTGGTTACTTTATGATTGTACTGCTGCTGGTGACTTGATGTGGAAACTGCCTTTTGATAAAGCGTTTCCTTTTTGTTAGATTGGGTGGGGGGGGACCCTATTGGGGGAGGAGGGAGGGTAGAGAAAGTCTCACGTATTTCTTTAACCTAATTGCAGAAAGTTCCAAAAGAAGTTCACTTCAATCTCTTGGCAGTACAGTATTCTGGTATTTGTTATTTGTCTGTGTGTAGGTACTGGTACCTTTTTTGTTTCAAAATGTTTTAAGTGTTGGCTTTAAAGTGAATTTATCTTTAGTATGATAGTAATATGAAAATTATAGGGTTTGTGTGCAGAGAATTTTTTTATAAAGTGCTTTGTAAAAAAAAAATGTATTCTAGCTTTCGCGGTACATGTGTGATAACTTTAATACCCATGCCAGTTAAGTGCAATTATTTCATCACTCTAAAAATGCTATTTTTGTGTCAGTTACTGCAGGTGTTTTCATGTCTTTGCAAAGTGACACATTTTGATGCCTTCTTGAGGAAGTGGTAGACTTTTTGTAGCTTTCTAGAAACTTTGTATTCATACCGTATCGATTGAAAATAAAGAAAATCAAAGTGTGGGTCAACTTTTTCATCTGCAAAAAACCACTGAGTTGTTGCAAACAAAGTGCTGAGAATTGGGGAGTGGGGGGAGGCAGTGGGGCCAAAAGATGCAATAAAGGGCAGAGATTTCCATCCCCTTCAGAACAGAAGGAATGAATACCATCTTTCTCATGCAACAATTAGACAGATTCTTTCAGCTGAATTCTGCCCAGGACATTTAAATGATCTCAACCCAGCTCTTGTAAGCAGAGATATGCTTGCTATTTTCTATACGTGTTTCGTGCAGTATAGTTGAAACTATTAGAAGACATCCGGTCCCTGACATGCTCATTTTCTTCTCTGCCTTGGTTGCAGTCCAGGAGTATGGGAAGCCAGTGCCCCCTAATGGGGAGCCCAGCAACCAAACCCAATTCATCTGAATCACCATGGGAGCATTTTTAAAGACTTCGAGTTTTATTCTTAGATAGATGGCGTTCTGGACTGGACTCCAGGTCTGGAGTGCTGAAAGAGAAAGTCAGTCTTAGCCAGTTTCTTGATAGGATCATAGAATCTCAGATTTGGAAGGAACCAGAGAGGCCGTCTTGTCCAACCCATATACCTGAATAAGGAAGATGACCAGTGAAGACCTGCAATAAAGCTAGCCATTCCATTGCTACATGGGATGCAGGAAGGCTATGCTTTGGTACTTTGAAGTTTAAGGGGTATGTGAATGGCACATGCATATGCCGTGTGAGAATCAGCCAGAGGCTACTGGGGCAAGCCTGGTTTTGGTTTTTTTAGCCAGTAGTTAGTTACATAAAAAGTCCAAGCTTGAATATTAATACTGTAGGAAAAAAATTAATGCCTTAACTTTGCATTGCAGGGGGAAGCCTGCCAGAAACAGTTTTGTTTTCATCACTAGCCTAATCCAAGCATTTTTCAGTTTAGAGAAAGAAATGCCCAAACTAGCAGACTCTGCTCATTCATTCCCTTGGCCATCTTTTTCCCTAGAGTATTCTGGAATCCCATAGGATTCTTGAATAAGTAATGTTTAACACTCAAGAGTAAGTAGATTTCAGGCAGCAGATCAGTTCATGGTCTGCTTTTTTACACAAAAGAATAGTCACTTAACTTTCACCTCCTTTTCATCGTTTCCCCTTTAACCATGAATTTTCCTTTCCAGCTGACCAGTACTGCCCCAACGTCCATAAACTGAAGTCATCAAAGAGACTTCTCCCTTCTCTTAGGTGAAGCATTGCCCTAATCCGGTCAAGGTGGATTAGTCAAGGGCCCCTCACCTGGTCTCAGTCACTGACCTAATTATTTCAAGGGAAGAGTCCTTCCTGAGCTGATCAGAAAAAGGGAAACACCTGGTTACAGAATTAAGAGACTCTTGATAAGGATTTCTCTTGCAGATTAGGTCATAAGCTTCTGACTAGTATAATTTTTTTAAGTCCTTTCTTAATTTTGCTGGAGGGAGGGGTTGCTTTCACAACACATATGCAGTTCTTACACAAACAAGCATTATTCTCCCGTAACTCCCATTATTCTTCATGATGGGCTAGAATGGATGGAGAACCTGTGGCCTCAAGGTCCTCAAGTGTGGCGCTGCCCCTAGAGGACCACCTGTGGCCTTGAGGCCGAAGGTGTCCCACCCCTGCCACTAGAAGGACCAATAAATTGGGACTTAACCATCCCTCAACAGAGAGCAATACCATCTTTGTAAAATTCCCTAAAAGATCCAAGAGGTATGGTTAAAGAAGCAAAATGAATGCCTAAGAAGCAATAAACTGCCCTGGGGAAGATGTAGATAGAAATAATAAAATCTGCCCTCAGGGGCACTTAAATCTAGTTGGAGGGTGGGAGGTTTGTAAAGAATGTACCACAATCTCTGGTCCCAAGCACATTGCCCAGACGTCTTCTTTGCTCTATGACAACTCTGAGGTGAGAGAACCCTTTCCACCAAGGAAAGGGCCTAAGCTAGGCCTTAAAGGGCGAAATTTCAACATGTATATATGGAAGTGATGTCCATTCTAGATGTGGCATACAGGTTGAACGAAGGCTCAAACACGTGAACTAGGGTGATGACTAATCTGGTTTGCCTGGTGTGCTGGTAAGATCAAAGGATAGAGTTATAAGGGGCCCTAGGGCTATGTGTCCCCTTATCTTACTGGGGCCTAGGGAAATGAAAAAATATGCCCAAGGTAACAGAGTTAGTGTCAGGTGTATTTGAACCCAGGACCCTTTGTCTTCCTCTTCTTCATCTGTGTATTCTCAGCTTTCTTAGCACACAGGCATTTTTTTTTTCTTTTTGGTGAGGCAATTGGGATTAAGTGACTTTGCCCAGGGTCACACAGCTAGTAAGTGTCAAGTGTCTGAGGCCGGATTTGAGCTTGGGTCCTGACTCCAAGGCCAGAGCTCTGCCCACTGTGCCATCTAGCTGCCCCCACATAGACTTTTAATAACTTGTTGGTTAAGTGATTGATTCCAGACATGAATAGCCTTGGAAAGGCATAGAGAGAGAAGAGAGAAAGAAGGCTTTAACGAACTACTGGAGATATCAAGGAAGGCTCTCTGAAGGAGATGAGATTTAAGTCAAAGCCATGCCCACTCTTTAAATCCCAAGAGACAAAAAGGGAGAGAAAATGCTCTGATCATAGGGAAGAGAGTGAGTAAAGTCATAATGGTAGGAGAGCTCAGAATGAATTCACAGACCAAAAAAATGGGATTGATTTGGCTGAAGCAGTGTGTGGAAGCGATATGCAGTCTTACACTCCGTAGTGAGAGGAACAGTACCCAAGACTAGGGAGGTGATGGTCTTGGTCAGATTACGTTGGGAGTACTATTTTCAATTCAGCAAATTAAGGAATAGTCTTGATGAATTAGAAGCATCCAGAAGAGGACACTCAGGATGGTGACAGCCCTGGAGAGCATGTCATTGATCAACAGAACTTGGGACATTTAACCTGGAGAAGAGAAGGCTCCACTTTTTTTCTTTAAGGCAGTTGGTGTTAAGTGACTTGCCCAGGGTCACACACAGCTAGTAAGTGTCAAGTGTTTGGTCTGAGATCGGATTTGAACTCAGATCTTCCAGATTTCAGGACTGGTACTCTATCCACTGCGCCACCTAGCTGCCCCAAGGCTCCACTTTCAAAGTGTGGTTTGGCCTTAAGCTTCAATAGTAGGTTAAAAAAAAAAAACCAAAAAGCCTTTCTCCCCATTCTCTACCACCACCCTCATCCATCCAACATATTTGTTTACAGTCTGCTACATATAAGACACAATGCTTAGTGTTAGGAGCATATAAAGCTAAATCCCCAGTCGCTGTCCTGGGTAGCTTATAGAATTCAAAGGGAAGTAATAATAGTTATAATAATAACAGCTAATATTTTTATAGTGCTCTTAAGTGCATGAATTGCTTTCACATGTATTATCTCATTTGATCCTTTTAATAATCCCAGTGAGATAGGCACTATTATCATAATCCCAGTTTTATAGCTGAGTAATTATAATCCCAATTTTATAGAATACTCAAAATGAGAGGTTAATAACTTGTCCAGGATCACACAAGTAGTAAGTGTCTGAGGTAAGATTTGAATTTGGGTCTTCCTGAATCCAAGTCCAATGGTCTATCTACTACTATCCTACAAACAGTGAAGGACCTTCAGCATCATCTAAAACCAAGACCATAATTGTCCACAAGTTCACAGGGAAGGGGACAAGATATAATTAATACAATAGGAGTAATGCAAGTCAGATGCCAAGGGAGTATAGCTAATAGATAGGGGATCTGGGAAGACTTCTTGGAGGAGGTGGCATTTGAACTGGGCCTTGAAATATGGATAGAATATTGGCAACCAGGGATTGGGTTTGAAAGAGTGGTCCATGGCACAGCAATTCCAAGGAGAGAGAGAGCATAAGCAGAGGAACAGAAGGAGGAAAGCACATGAAGACTTCAGTATAATGACTCCCGTTTCTGTTACCATTCGTCCATTTTCTCATCATATCTTCACAGCAACTCTGTCATGGAGAAAGTGCAAATATTATTGCCCCATTTTGCAGATATGGAAATCTAGCCTCAGAGAAGTTAAGTGACTTGTCCAAGATCACACGGCTTATAAGCAAGAGAGCCCGGACTCAAATCCATGCCTTAGGGTTGCAGATTTAGTGGTCATTGCACCGTACTGTACCAACTTCTATTGGCCACTCAGACTGTGTGCCAACTTAATGTGTGAAGGCGTAAAGGTCATATCACTTGTGGAGGCTCCTGTCAGGAATCTCATAATATCCTCATGAAGAAGATGGAACTACGTGGATAGCATAATTAACATGGATCCAAAGACCATACCCCACCTGAGATTCACCTTGAGGGAGATCTCTACTGGAAGGCAGAAAAATTTGTGAGATCAATAACAAAGTACTTTGTAGATCCTAATGTGCTAGGTAGATGCCAGCTAAGGGCAGCAGCAATAGTTAATAATAATGATAATAAAAGCATTAATATAGTTTTAGCTTATAACATGCTTTACCTAAGTTAGTGCGTTTGGCTTGTCATCTGTTCCTGCGTCTCACCCTCTTCTCAATTGTGGGGGTAGAAGCCTATCTGCCAGATTTGCAGATGACACAATAATACAATGGATGCCGTGTAGGGGTACAGAAAGATCATGACACCCTAGAGTCTGATCGAGATGCATTTAATGGAGGTAAATGAAAAGCCCCACACTTGGGTTCAAAAGATCGCTGGCACAAGATATGGGAAAGCTCCCCGAATCAGTGCCTGGAAGGACATACACATGAGAGTTCACACAGACCAACTAGGGCGAAAGGTAGGATGAGCAACCAGACACTAGGGCCTGGGCTCCTCAGCGCCTCTGTGTTATTAATAAATCTGACCCAAGCTCATGAGGAGAATCTTACTCAAAAGCCATGGTCACACCAGCTTGTGATTGGGATAAAAAATCTTGAGAGGTTTTTCTGTTCCAACACCGAGCAGCAGGGAGTGGCCTGGGATGGTAAGACTTGCTTTTGGAGACCAGGAGGCTCCCCATG